GTGGAGCAAAACTTTTTAGACTCTAAATTAAATTTCGATCATCAAACTTCAGTACAGTTGTGGTGCGCGCTACTTATAAGTAGTATATGACGCGGGTGAAAACGTAATGTCTGGCAGCAGAAGATGGGGGAAGATCAAGAAAGAAAGAAGAGTGGGAACACAATGGAATTTGTATGAAACGTACGAACAGTGAAATGTCAGACAATGGATTGAAGATTTGCAAATTAACCGTTTACGACATGGTTTCCCTATTTTATCAATTAACTCTGTAATGTGCGATATATACAATTCGGTTGCCCTCACCTGTGTTCTTCTTCATTACACAGTTAATTATTATGAAATAACTGATTTGCTCAGTAACTGAATGTAAAAGGTAGGATTTACAGTTCATGATGTGGTTTTCTGAAGTAGATGCTTCGAAATAGTGTACAGCTTTCGACAAATATTTTTAATTACTGATGAAACTAAATATATGCTTGAACTTGATTCACCAGGATGTCAAGTACCTGTGTGATTGCGTCACAGGAGTGAGCTGTACTATTCATGTTGTAGTGTTGTTAACATGTGAGCAGTGTCTGGTTCTCTTGAAAATCAATATAAAATTACCCATGCAAATTGAGAGGGAATTTGTATTATTGTGAATTGAAACTGAAAGTTGAAACTACATCACTATCAAAACGTAAGGTGGTTTAGTACAAACTGTCTAAGTACTTATAGCTACTCAAAAATGAAGTGAAACCGAATGATTTTAAACTCTGATTCGATCTGTCAGATAAGATTCATGAAATTTGCGGGATAGGATCGGTTGAAAAGTTTTGAACAACACCTTCATTATAGTTTTTACTTTCTTATATGACAACTATATTCAAATGAATCAGATCTCTTAGAAACCATACTATTGATAGTGTCTTTTCATCACGTCTACAATTAAGTTAAATTTGGAATGGATAGGTATGATACTCATGTTTGGCCAAGAATGTGATATAACTCAATAAAGTAATATCATAACAAGGAATAGCTTTAGCTAATCAACATAATTTACAAATGTATTTCAACACACAAGTTTTTGATTCACTAATTACAAAAAAGTACAAATAATGTGGCGTAATGTATCACCTATATTGGGAATAACTGAGTATTAATCGAATCAAAAGAAAGTATTCCGAATACTTATCAACAATTAAAACAAAAATATGCGCAGGTTATGTAGATAGAGAATTTGTTATTGTAGATGTGCACTGCTGAAGAGTCCCAGACCAGGACGAAACGGCCGTCCAGTGCTTCCAGGTTTCTAATGGTGGTCTAACTAACTATGATTCATTCATGATATCGAAGATAATGAATAACTTTAAAATGTTGATACTTTGATCATAACAATACTTGTAGGAGCTCTCGCTAAATTTCAAATACACAGGCGGAACAAACACAATATTCGTTTAAGCTTAGAAAATAACTATTTGTTTTTAATTTGATTTGACCATCAAGTTAACAGTCTAAATGGAACCCATAGTATATATATTACTAGGTAATTTGATATTTCATTGATTTTACTTACTTGTCGATTGTTTACATACTTCAGTACTGTTATTATAAGATAACTTTTACAAACAATAGATGCTGTCAATTCGCCTACACCCTATGGACGCATATTCATTTGAGATTCACCTATCAAACCTAGATATTTTTGTACAGACACGAGGTAGAACTGTTAAATAACAGTTAGCTTCCAATAGTATTTCATTCTTAATCATTTACTTTCTTAATTCTCGCCTCTAAGACAATCGTAATTATAACTGAAACAATTTACTACAAAAAAATTCTCATTAACATTTTTCAAGAATGTTTTTGATTGAAATCCACGATGCTACTTACTAAATCTTGAGTAGCTTAGAAATATGTATGAAAATTATTGGTTTTGCACAGGACAATTATTTATTTCTTATGGACTTTTATTCATATTTTATTTATCCATGTTTATTGAGCGTCAGCCAGTAGCTAAGAGCTGATTATGTCATTTTATCTATACTTATCCAGTTCATTAACTAGATTTATCAATCCAAACACCATGATGATCTAACAATGATTTATTGATGATTTCAGTATGCAGACTCAACCGTTTTGAAATTATCTATAAGTTTCTTGACATCGTAAAATCGTTAAATATCATGTTCATTGAAGCTCATTAGCAACACTAAAAGCGAGATTTTTCGCTGTGGTGTTTATGAGAGGACTCATAAACTTCCTCTAATACAAAGATTGTCCTACTTACAATTACATGATGTCAGTCAGTCAGTCAGCTACAACGTAAAACTTCGTACGTGCTTAGATTAGTTCAGGTTGTCATAACACATTAGCACAGAGACGGAACTGACGATTCACTCCCATAGTGGTAGTAGTAGTAGTAGTAAAAATGTGAGCAGTAATCGGAAAGCTTAGGGTTCGAAGATAGGATTTGAGAAGCATGATCCAGTGAAATAAATTTGAAAATAGAAAACAAAAGGTCATGAGGGATTCCGAAGATTAGGATTTGAGAGAACACAAAGAGTGGATGCACCTAAGCCATTGCAAATAATTTAGAAACCTAGTACCCGTTTCCTAATGGCAGCATTGCTTACTCGATGGTCCCAAGATCATCGAGTAATGCTTTGGAGACACCTATAATCGAGAACAAACAACCTACGAATATCTTCTACTCTGACTGGTAATGTTTCACAGCCTTAAGGTAGGACGGAGCGAACTACTGCACAATACACTCGTCTTTTGGTTAACAGACAGATTTCACGCCTACACCATGAGTGACGCAGGTTGTCAAAAGCCAATCGATCATTCTGTATCCTTGCTGCGATTTTGTCATACAGCAGGCCATCAGCACTGATAAGGCTTCCAAGATAAGTAAAGTGGCCAACACGCTCAACTGCTTCACTCCCTATCACTAGTTCAGGTGCCGATGAAAGCCAATCCTCAAGCAACACTTTGCATTTCGACGAGGAGAATCGCATCTAGAACATGCTTGCATTGTTGTTTAGTGTGGTCAGAAGACTCTGCATTTTGTCAGCGTCTTCACCAAGTAGAACTATATGATTGCCATATTCTAACTCAACAAGAGATTTTGCGGGTAAAAAGTCTACACCTGAAAATTCAGACCAAGCATGTCTATGATAAAATTAAACAAGAATGTGGAGAGTGGACATCCTTGACGGACACCACTTGAGGTAAAGAATTCCGGTGACAGTTCGCCAGTGATGTTCGAGTAGAGAGCTTGTATAAGGTTAATGTACTTCTCTGGTACACCTTTCAATGACAGACACTGCCACAGAACCTTACAATCCATAGAGCCAAATGCCACCTTAAGGTCCAGGAATGCAGCTATTGTCGGACGTCGTAATGTTTGTTTCTGTTGCAGAACTTGTCGTAGTGTGAATATATGTGGTCTACTTACCCACGTCCAGGTTTGAACCCATCCTGATTTTCTCGAGTTTACTCTTCACGAGCCCTAGTTAAGCGTCGAAGAATTATTGAACCTAATATCTTAGACACTTACTCAAACTGATTCCTCATTGACTGTTACAAGAGGGCTTTTATCCTTTTTTACAGACCAGGACAATTAGTGATTAAGACCAGATGGATGAAATTACGCTCAGTCCTCATACTCTACCTAAGATTTCACTGCTAAAACTGGACCACCACCCTTTTAAATCTCAAGGTTAAACCTGACAGTGCCTGCTGCTCTAACTCGCTTCAGATTTCCTATAGCCCTTTCAGCTCCTTTAAGAGCTGGAGGACTTACATTAATTCGCCATTTAGGTCGACTGGAGATCTTGGGCAACCGAAGTTGAACTGATCCCTAAAGTGTTCTGCCCATCGATCCAACCTCCTGAGCTGAGAATGAATCATACGACCATCCTTTTCCGAGATAGTCTCACTAACAGTCGAATCCCTAATTCCAGTTTCCTTTATGAGCCTGAATAGTTGCCTACTGTTACCTATCGCCGCTGCCTTTTCCATCGCTCTTGCTTTCGCTACCCACCATTGTTATCAATCATTGCCTAAGCTTTTTATCGGGCTGTGCTTAAGCCAACTCCGCTCTTCGTTATGTTCACAGACAGACGGGACGAGTTTTCAAGCATCTATCAGTTAGGTAGAACGTTTTTTTAGTTGTTCCTAGCTTTGCAATCACTGAGTAAAATAATAATAGTAGTTTCTTTGATGTCTGTTTTTTACGACCAGTAAGATGTAAACAGATACGCGCTCGTACTAAAGCACGATCTGAGTCTAAACTGTTAGGATATTCATTAAATATCCTAAGAGAATTGTTTTTGGAAGTTTTATTCTATTGGTCGATTCCTACTGGTCAGTATTACGGTCGTCCTAACTATCAATGTCACATACTTCAATGTTGTTTCCTATTCGACCTAACTGTATAAATACACATTATCTGTAACGTTTTATGACCCGGACCCAGATCCCTAGTCCGCGACCCTCAGCCTCCTTTGGATGCTTGTAGAATACATATTCTACTTCATATCAAGTCTTCTTTTATTCAATCGGGGTTGGGACACTCGGATTAGAGTAGCATGTCGTGTCGCCGGATCATCGATCCTCGCTCTCGTTTTCCGACCAAGGTAAACTCGTAATAGTTCAAGCATATCAAATGACTTGTTTACGTGCATGCGTAACATAAACTATATACTCCAGAATGAGCGACAGTCTTCTATCGAACCTCTTCATCGGTGATTAATTATATAATGTAACTACAGTTCAGTTTTTCAAACTAAACACTCAACTAATAAGTCCTCAGCTTAAACTTATCACGTTTAAAGTTATTTATACCATAGAGTAGTTGTGTCGTTGTTATTTCCTATTTCCTATCATCTGTCGAATTAGGAGGACATAACACTTTGAAACTGACAGATTCTATGATCAAATTTAAATTTCTAATCGTTGTCAAACAACAAAACTTTTCTCGATTATTATTATTATTATTATTATTAATAACTTTTGTTTATGTACATTTCTTTTTCGATTAACATCACATAGAAAAAAAAAGATGAATCTGGTAAGTAAGAAAAAAAAAGAAAATAACAATCATTGAAACCTTGAACAAAATTTTACAAAAATTGAACATAAAATCACACATGAAACATGATTTTATTTATGCAGCATGAATGATGATAATTGAAATTTCAGTTTTCCATAGATGATAAGAAGAAAAACGTTTGTATTCACATTTTTCGATAGTAGTTACCTATGTGGAGTTTCGTTTTTTATTTCTACAATAAAAACATTTTCCAGTGCAATTATTATATCAGAAAAAAACCCACAAATTATCAGAAAGAAAAAAGGAATTACAAAATGAGAGAATTATCTTGTTTGTTAAATGTTATTAAATGTTAAGTAGTGTCGATAAATGTAAAACATCAATACAGTCAACATTGTCATATAAAGTGTTGTAGAAACAGTCATTGGTGTACTTGAATTACAACCATTTTTATTATTACAATTACAATAACGAACTTTAACACGATAAGTGCCTAAACGATCAATGCACCAACGACCATCTTCTGCACCAATCACACCGGTTACAGCACAATCACGATAATAACGTCTAGTCCATTTGCCATCTAAATACACTGTGAAAATAAATAATAATAATAATAATAATAATAATAATAATAATAATAAAGATTATTTTTACTTCAATTGTGGTGCGAGCTACTTATAAGTAGTATATGACGTGAGTGTCAACGTAATGTCTGGCAGAAGAAGATGGGGGAAGATCAAGAAAGGAGGAAGAGTGGGAACACAATGGAATTTGTATGAAACACATCATGAAAAGTGACAATGGATTGATGTTTTGCAACAGGAACAGTCCAGTTCGATATGATGAAGTGATATTTTGCAAATGAACGATTTACAATATGGTTTTCCAATTTTACTGAGTAACTCTGTAACTTTCGTAAATGTAATCCGGTTGCCCCACCTGTGTTCTCGTTCACCACACAATATCAATAGTAGTTATATATCAGTGGATAAGTGCTGAGATCCACTGAGAATCACTTGATATAGCAGTAAACGTCTGTCGACTGAGGTGGTTGGAACATGTATTGTGTATCTTTAGACACCGCCTATCTCGACATGTGACATTTCTTAATGTAAGAGTAGATTGGAAAAAAACAAGTTGCATTGGTTCACAAAATTATCACATGTCGAGTTTAGCCATGTAAATGAGCGTACACTATCTGATTGAGATCCGAGAGATTATTATAATCAATTTGGGAAAAATGATGGATGGCACGGCTGAGAGTCTATCTCAGTGGTGAAGACTCATACTTTTCATGTCCTGAAAACAGCCTTCTCCATTGAATAATGTGTCTATACCTAGTATTTTCTACCACCAATGACACTTAATATTTCTACCATTTTATTAGTTGTCTTAATGATTTCACCTCTTTCTTACGATATAGCACAGTAATGTTGAGTGATATGTATAAACGCCAGACTGTACACTACTGTGGGAGAGAACAAACCAGATTTTAGTGGAGGAGGAAATCAGGAAGAAGTGATGGAAGTGGATAGGACACACACTGCGTAAACCACCCAACTACGTCACAAGACAAGCCTTCTCTAGGACTTATCAAGGTAAATGGGAAAGAGGAAGGTCAAGGAACATATTACGCCAAGAAATGGAGACAGACATAAGAAGATTAAACGAAAACTGGAAAGAACTGGAAATGGAAGCCCGTGGCAGAGTTTATTGGAGAAAACTGGTCGGTGGCTTATGCTCCTTTGAGGGTAACAGGCGTAAGTAAGTAAGTAAGCAGGGTGTACGCCACATATGACTGAATTCCGGAATTAAATCTAAAAAGGCAATAATAACTGGTGACGTATGATTTAGTAAACATCAAATTCTCAGTATACCTTTTACTCAGAATCCATGCCTTTTTAAATACAATTCGTAAACATTAAAATACTAGGATTTAGAAGACACAACTAGTTGAGGAGTTTAAAATGGGACAAAATGCAAATCGTGGATTAAACTGCTAGCTAACATTTACCTACTTCAGAAAACTGTAGACAGTTTGTTTCTAATATGAAACTGTTATATAATAGAGACTATATCGATTTTTTAATCTACTCGGTCTTCAGTTATTTCATAAGAACTTTTCTTGATATTAAGTAAGTTGTTTCTTAATTTGTTATATTTCAAAAATTAGTCGTCAAATTGGCAGTAAAGAGTATATTCCAACATTATTCTAAAACATTAAAGTTATTGCTTTGAGTCGACTTCTGATTGAATTTTGAAAGCTATTAAAACAAAGGATAAGTGGATATTTATTGTATTTTTTTCCAAACTTTAACACTGTCATTAAAACACTGCTAGCTGCTAACTATGATGTATTGACATACTTTAACACACCATGTGTTGTGATCAAAATAAAATCTTTGCTTTACAAATTAAAGATTAATTTTAATGTAGTAATTCCGTAAGCAACAATGAAATAAATGAGTACATTTTTAAAATTCAAAATAAAATATGCTATGTCACAAGTAAACACAACTTCATGACGTAATTTCTGACAATAATACTTTAAGACGCTGCACTAAATATGGGTAACTATTTCAGCTATTACCTAGTTGGGGTCTGCTAAATGATAGTAATCGATAGACAGAGACTTTGAATGGTATTGTGGCGTTAGACTTTCGTTATCTTCGATTTCCCGTATATCTCCGTCTTGATGATCGCTACGAGAGAACACGAGTCGTTGCCACAATTTCTTTATTATTCAAATTATTTAATGATCGATACAAATATCGGATTTAATTCAAATATGTATAGTCGATATTGACATCGAATTATTCAAACTGTTAATCGATACAGCTAGTCAAATAACTATATGTGTAGGTGGCAAGTAATGCCCAAGCGTACATGCGCATACAAGCTCAACAATGATAAAAGTACAAGATATATGTGAGGTGCTACAGCATGACTCAAAACTGTTTACAATGGTGCAGGTGTATCCAATCTTTTGGCTTCTCTCAAATCTTAATCTGGTATGTCCACATGGCTGACTGTCTGAATGACTATGTTGGTTATCATGAAGCAATAGGAACCTGTTCTTATCATTTCACGAGATTCTAAATTTAATTCTCTTTTTATCACTCTCTTAGAAAATAATTATCTCGTTGAGTAATCACTTTCTTAATTTTGAATAATTTATCATTCTACACCATGCAGTATCATACACAAGATTTTCTATATCTGACCTTTATTTATCTCCACAATGATGCTGGCCAACTAATCAAAGTTTCTACGAAAGACTGAACTTGTATAATATATTCATGAATGTAATGTTATGAAAATGAGTTTGTCAACAAAATATACTTTTTTACCAAGTCAATAATATGGATATATATGTTTGTTGGCTATAACAGTTTGATCTTATCATAATGCAAATCGTGTTCACACATTAGGCTAATATCTTGTTAAATGTTGTATGTTACTCAGTCCAATCTACTCACATATGAATAATGATCAATGTGAATAAAATATATAACACTTAGTTTGCTCCAGTGCACATTTGACCTGTTTTTGGTGTATAATAAATCTTTATCGATTATCTTCCTATTCTGCATAGCACCAAACTGTATCATTTTTCCGTTCATTTATGACAATCTGATAGTAAAAACAACAGGCGAACTAATAACAGTAGACTTGAAGTGGCACTCGCATATTAGTTTTGTCCACTATCCAATGAATCAACTCTCATTTTTTGTACGTTTATAACAATACGCATACAAAAATGACCCCCGCTTCACTGATACGTTGCCTTTGATCCATCTCTCGCATAAAACGTTTTTAAGAACAAGCTATATCCAACACAACTAACTCAAGAACGTCATGAAAAAATGCCTAATGTGTACGACTAAAGCCCCCGAAAGTGTTTAGCTGCCTTGTGGAGTAAAAACAACAGTCATGACTGTCATTAAGAATGATATATGTTTAACACTATAATAAGACTAACAGTATTTTATTTTATGCAGAGGTGGACGGTGGCTAGCTCACTAACTTCAGTACTAACCATCAAAGAGGAGATCCAAACAACTAATGCAAATGAATTAGTACGTTGACTGGTTTCTGCTCAAAAAACTATATAGTTACTGCTGATAGATGACAAGTTTTAAAAGACATAAAAACTTGGCACAGGATATTAAGGTTGTGTTGTTTATAATTTCATTTACTTCCCGCCAAATTGGTATTGACTTAACATAGAGAGCTTAGAAAACCATAGGAGTATTAGATAACCAATTATTCCATGGATTTCATATATTTTATACACTTCCATGTTTGAACCAACTAGTTTGTATGACTTATATTGAGGAATTCTGACAAAAAAATTCTCAATATTTTGGTAGCAACAATACATTTTCTTTGAATTTCGATCACTTCATGAATTTACACGCGAGTCAACGTTTTCATATGGAACTAGTACGTATTACATGGGATGAATACTGATCACAAATAAAACAATGTACGTGATCAGTAGGTTGTTTTAAGACCAAGATCATGCATCTGCGATAAATTGTGAGCCAATCTAAGCGCAATAACTGGAATATCTTGCAAGCTTATTGACGATTAGAAATTTTCAGTCATAATCATAAATAACTTAGAACAACGTTTAAAGAACAAAATCAATATACACAAAGATCTGATAAGAAAGGAGAGGCAGTTAACTTATCCACAAAGAGAACCCAGAATAGGTTTTGCATCAAAATTCGTCATGAAATAAATCGTTCTACCTGAGTAATTCCTATTACTATGTCATTACAAAGTTCACAAAACGAAGCTAACATACAGCGGAAACAGGCAAATAAGCCTTAATCACTTGACATTTAAAAATGTTTCCGCTTCGAAGTTTAAAATTCCAACTAAATGATTTGTCACTCATTAATAATCAAAACCAGATAGACCAATTTAGCTTAAACAGCATCATTAGAGACAACGTTATTGGTAAGTCCCATAATTGACCGGTATTATGAAATTACTCTCAATAATAAAGATAAAGTTGATAACTATGTTGCTTCTCACATACTTCGTCTGTAGGTCAAAACACATTGTTTGTGCTAAAGAGCACAAGTAAATCAACATCCACTGTTTGCGCAAACACCGTGAAAGTCAAAAGGGAATCGTAAGACCTAACAAGTGCAGAAGATCATATGTGATTAGTCAATCCTGAATCCAGCTCATCATCTACTTACTTCCATGTACTACTTTACTGATGAAATTCGCAATAAAAAACCCCTCGCATTCAACTTTAAAGCAATATGGACAAACTCACCAAAGAATTTGAAGAAAAACTATAACACTTCTCGGCATTTTGGCCGATCATTTGATATTTTCCGCGGTAAAGAACATTCGCAAAAAATGAGATGCAAAAAACTGAGGAAAACTCATAAAACTAGTATATTACCATATGCAGTCAGGTATAAATTTTTCCTTTAAAGTTGAAAAACCTTAAAATCCACTACATCCCTTATTTTTTCCACGAGATACTAATTTAATTTAGGCGGAACGACAATAAGATAAACCTTGTGCTTACTTTCTTGAATCATCTTGACACATCTAGAATAATTTCTTCCATCATTAGGACAAGCGACCAAAGGAAAAGTTCGATTATCAAAATAGTCCGCACAGTGAGGTTGTGTTAGCGAGTTACATTGGTAGCAACGCAGTTCTGGTCCAATACCTGAAACCATGCGTTAAATTGAATGCATGAAATTAATATAAGCTGTCTCACCTACTTGACAAACAGCTGCCGAAGTCATTACTAAAATCTGAACAAGTCTCAGTATCATTTCCGGGATTTGAATCTACTCCATTTACTCAATACCATATACCTAGAGTATTAAAACATCCAATATCCAATATCTTTTTCATGAACTAAGATACACCAATTGATTTCTTTGAGCTCAATTCTTTTTCTTTAAGTACGGTTTCAGGTATTTTCAGTATCAAATTCTAGTCAGTTGACAGTTGTTTGTGAGTCTGTACGTCCCGAGATTTGAACAAGTACATTTGTTTAAGGGCAGTAAGGTTTCTGGATACCAGCAACTATCACGTTACTTGGCCAAAGATCAGTTATTTGCGATTCGAAGAGTAATAATGAAAAAAGTCTAATGATAATAAGAATAAGATTTCCGTACTAAGGACCTAAATGTAAGCAAAGAAGAGAATGCAGAGATAATAAGCGAGACAGATTAAGTTAATGATCTGAGGAGATGGCGATAATAACAACTAGCAAGACTCAAGACATGCATCAGACACTGTTTTTACACGAGGGAGATGCTAATCCGAATGTGAATACGTGTTTATCAAGTCTCTTCTTAAAGCTGTCTGCTGACGGGGCTTTGGTCAACTCGACTGGGGGATCATTCCAATTTGCAACGACTCTTAACGAGAAAAAGTTCGCACAAACCCGAGTATTCTCTCTTTAGTGCGCAATATTTCGAGGATTGCCTCGAGGTGAGTGATGGTGATGCATCGACATGATGCTCCCGCTGAGATGGTTTGACGTGCTTAAGATGTAGGCCATAATCAGATAACCTCTGATTAGCCTGCAACTGAAGGGGAATAATCTCATGTGTTGAAATCCATATTCGTAAGTTTTACTTTTCAACCCTATGATTAATTTTGTTGCTCTTCTCTGCACTTGATCCAGGAGATTTATGTTTCTTTTGGTTAGTGGGGGTGCAACGACGTTGTGAACCTCAAGAAGTGGGAGAGAAAATGCCCCAAACAACATTGAGAATAATTCTGGGATGATAAAATCAAGTTCTGCGCTGTAGCTGACTGACTGATATATGCAGACAAATCAAATGAAGTGATTTTCTATTATTAGGGATAAGATGTTAAGGTTCGATAACCCATAGTCAAATTTATATAGCGCCTTATTCATGTAAAATCAATACACACTTCGCAAATCGAATATTTTTTCAATGTCTGTTTTAAATCAAATTGTTTGTCACGTTATGCTTCTTGCTCAAACTCACTCTGTAGCCCCTCTGAGGCTACTTTCGGTCCCAAGCCTGGATAAAGGAGGATGGTGAGGCATGAGGTTGGCGACCCTATACCACAAACACAAACTCGCTAAAAACCGCTAATAAGAAAAACATAATTCAAACCATTCAAACTCTGCCCTGGGAGTCGGAAGAAGATTTATGACGAGTTCCCTCGGAACTCACGAGGCCGATGCCTCTTCTGACAACCAGAGCAACCATTTTTTTTAGGTGCATGGAACGTTCATACATTGTGGGAGACTGGAGGGCTACTTCAAGTTGCGGCAGAAATGAAAAGATACAACTTGGAGATGCTTGGAATCAGGTAAAGGCATTGAACACAGGTAGGACAACTGAGACTAGCTTCAGGGGAACTGCTGTTATACTCTGGTCGTGAGGAGGAAAGTGCTTCACATACGCAAGGGTTGCACTGATGCTTTCCAAACATGCACAAAAGGCACTAGTAGGATGGGAATCTCATGGATCCAAGATCATTAAAGCATCCTTCAAAATAGAGAAAGAGGGCATTACAATGAACGTCATCCAATGCTATGCACCTACCAATGACTACAATGACGACGATAAATATCAATTCTACGAAAGGCTGTAGTCAATCGTCGATAGATGCTCACCAAAGGGTTTGACCATTCTAATGGGAGACCTGAATGCTAAGGTTGGAATGGACAACACTGGATATGAAGATATCATGGGACGACAAGGACTGAGAGAAAGGAGCGAAAATGGTGAGAGATTTGCAAACCTATGTGCCTTCAACAAACTGGTCATCGGTGGCCCAATATTCCCACACAAACGCATACACAAAGCCACATGGATTTCACCAAATTGACCAAATCTGTATCAACAAAACGTTCAGAAGGACCATGGAGGATGTGAGAACCAAGGGAGGAGCTGACATAGCCTCAGATCACCACTTGCTGGTAGCCAAAATGAAACTGAAACTAAAGAAGCACTGGACAACGGGGAAGACAACATCACAGAAGTTTAATGCGGCCTTTCTTTGGGATACCGTAAGACTCAACGAATTCAAGATAGCCCTCAGCACTATGTTCCAGACCTTGCACGATCTACTAAATTGATAGGAAACTACCATGGAGATCAATGGGAAAGCAATCATACAGGCAATCGCTTCCATATGTCAGTAGGTTCTGAGGCACAAGAGGTACCATCTCAAAGAATGTATCTCTGTTAGTACTGTTGAAAAAATCAAGAATATAGGGAGTATCGTAAGCCTCAACAAACAGTCAAAAGCAATGAAGGTAAAGTAATCAGCAACATTGAAGAATAGTGAAATAGGTGGGTCAAGCACTTTAAGGAACTCTTGAATCGACCAGCTCCACTGAACCCACCCAACACACAAGTACGACCTAAGGACCTTTCAATCGATGTTGGCCCACCAACAACTGAAGAGATAAGTGATGCCATCACACAAATCAAGAGCGACAGAGCAGCAGGACCAGACTACATTCCAGCAGAAGCAATGAAAGCAGACGTGAAAGCAACTGCAAAAGTACTTGACATTCTCTTCAACAAGATTCGGGATGAAGAACAAGTACCGACAGACTAGAAAGAAGGATACCTCATCAAAATATCAAAGAAAGGCGATCTCAACAAGTGTGAGAACTACAGAAGCATCACTCTCCTCTCAATACCAGGCAAAGTCTTCAACAGGGTATTGTTAAACAAAATGAAGGACTTCGTAGACGCCCAACTTCGAGATAAACAGGCTGGATTTCGTAAGGATCGATCGTGTACTGACCAAGTTCCAGCATTACGGATCATTAGGGAACAATCAACTGAACGGGATCCACCATTCAAAATTAACTTCATCGACTACACGAAGGCATTCGATAGCGTGGACAGGAAAACACTATGGAGGTTTCTTCGACACCACACTGTGCCTGAAAAGATAGTCAGCATCATACGGAATTCTCATTATTGATTAAACTGCAAAATCGTGCACGGAGGACAGCTAACAGACTTTTTCGAGGTGAAACCGGTGTCAGGCAAGGTTGCTTACTCTCACCCTTTCTCTTTCTCCTGGTCATCGACTGGGTTATGATGACGCCATCATATGGAGGGAAGCACGGTATTCAGTGGAGAGCTAGGACGCAGCAGGATTATCTGGACTTCGCAGATGACCTGGCTCATCTATCGCACACTCAACAACAAATGCAAGAGAATACGACCAGTGTAGCAGCAGCCTCTGAAGCAGTAGCAGGTCTCAAAATACAAAAGGTAAAAGCAAGATTCTCCGATACAACACAGCATGCGCCAACCGAATCACGCTTGATGGAGATTCTTTAGAGGACGTTAACACCTTTACATATCTTGGCAGCATCATCGACAACCAAGGTGGATCCGAGGCAGAAGTGAGGGCGTGGACTGGCAAGGCAAGGGCTGCATTTTTACAATTGAAAAATATCTGGAACTCCAAACAACTTTCAACCGAAACCAAAATCATGATTTTCATCACAAATGTCAAGATAGTTCTACTATATGGGGCGGAAACTTTTAAAAACAACCAAAGCCGTCTTTCAGAAGATGCAAGTGTTCATTACCGCTTGTCTACGCAAAATACTTCGTATTCGTTGGCCATACACCATCGGCAAAGATCTCATAAAAAGCAGAACAAGCCAGATTCCAGTGGGGGAGGAAGTCGTGTGGGAATGGAGGAAGTGAATTGGACACACTACGGAAGGCACCTAACTACGTCACAAGACAAGCCCCCACAAGGAACCCTCAAGGTCAAAAGGGAAAGAGCAAGCCCAAAGAACGCATTAAGCCGAGAAACAGAGAAAGACAGGGAAAACGAACAAAAATTTAACAGGACTGGCAAGGGAAGCCCAGGACAGAGTAGGTTGGAGAATACTGGTGGGCGGCTATGCTCCATGGGAGGTAACAGACGAAAGTAAGTAAGTAAACATCAAGTTGTCTTCGCATAAAGCGGAGTTGCATTTTCCTTGGCTGCGTCTTCTGTATAGTAATAACAGCAATTAATTAATTTAATTAATTTGTTCTCGAATGACGACATCTTACAAGAAGCATACGAACATACAGGCAAGACCAAAATGTTAAAATTGCTAACATGTTTTCTGTAAAAGATTGTTCATTTGCGCGAATATTTCTCAAGGTATATTGACTGGTTATAGATAGCTAAAATTTTTCACATAAAATTATATTGGGTGTTTCAGACTCTACAGTGTACAATACACTGGTTGACTCAAGTTACGACGGTTGCGTTGCTGCTAACCACTGCTGGTTCAGGCTCTCCTTTTCACCTTTAACAAGTGTTCAGTGCCGCACCTAATCCATGTTCTTCTGTTTCCGGGTGTGTGGTATGCGTGACGCACATTGTTTAGGACATCATTCTGGATGATGTCTCGCACTGTTTGCCAGTGATCATATACTGTCAGCCTCCGCCATTCCTGTGGCCATGGGCATTTAGAAGATGCTCCCTCATGCGCATGTAATTCACGCTAGAATAGCGAAGGTAGGGCTAGTTTTCGTCCTGCCTGAGTGTTTCCTTTATGACCACGTCCTATAAGACTTTGCCTAGGTCATTACTTCCCACTGGTGTATGGACGTGAATATCCTAAACCAGGAGCTGACCATTAGTTGGCAAATAATCCAAGTTTGAAGATTTTCCCTTCTTAGCCCAACTAGTGGCGCTGCATACATGCTCATATTCAACAAAACCCATCATTAAGTTACGAGAGGTGAAAATAAGAGTTTTAAGATTCACACAGTTTTATGAAATGCTAATCACTTCTGATTTCATCCCATAAATCATAATATAAATCTGGTTTTT